CTGGACCAAATGGTTACTTATTGTGGAGTGTTCTGAGCATTGCAGAATACATAGCAGTATCCAGGGTCTCTACCTACAAGATACCAACCAGTAGCATTACTCTAGTATGGCAAAAAGAAACCGCATTTCAGGCCCCCGACCAGAAGCAGTGCCGCTTCGGCAGAAGGCCCGAGCGCGGAGGCCTCTGGGATGGTGTGGGACCAGCAAACCAAGATGGAGTGTGAGTGGGAACCTGACAAGCAAGGGCTTCAGCAAATCCTGAAGCTGCTGAAGGAGTGCCAGTCCCCAGACACCACCACCCAGAGGACTGTGCAACAAAACTGGAACAACTCAATCAATATCCAAATTTTAACAACGATTTGATTTTTGTTCTTACAAAATTAAAATCTGAAGATGAACCCACAAGATCATTGAGTGGTTTGATCTTGAAGAATAATGTGAAAGCACATTTTCAGAACTTTCCAAATGGTGTAACAGACTTTATTTAAAGTAAATGTTTAAATAATATTGGTGACTCCTCACCTCTGATCAGAGCCACAGTTGGTATTTTAATTACAACCATAGCCTCCAAAGGAGAATTGCAGAATTGGCTTGATCTCTTACCAAAACTCTGTAGCCTGTTGGATTCTGAAGATTACAACACCTACCTAAACCCAGAGTTCATTTTTGTCTGCAACAATGTCACTTGGGCAATAGGAGAGACCGCAATTCAGATGAGTATAGAGATGCAGCTTTATATTCCTGTGGTATTGCACTAGCTTGTAGAAATCATTAACAGACCCAACACACCAAAGACATTGTTAGAGAACACAGCAATAACAATTGGTCATCTTGGTTACATTTGTCCTCAAGAGGTGGCCCCCATGCTACAGCAGTCTATAAGACCCTGGTGTACCTCTCTGAGAAACATGAGACAATGAGGAAAAAGATTCAGCATTCTGTGGGATTTGTACCATGATCAGTGTGAACCCCAGTGGTATAATCCAAGATTTTATATTTTTTTGTGATGCTATTGCATCATGGATTAACCCAAAAGATGATCTCAGAGACATGTTCTGTAAGATCCTTCATGGATTTAAAAATCAAGTTGGGGATGATAATTGGAGACATTTCTCTGACCAGTTTCCTCTTCCCTTAAAAGAGCGTCTTACAGCTTTTTATGGTGTTTAATCTGATGTACTCAAGCTGCAGTCCCAAAATTACGGGTCCTTCAGTCTTGGAGACTGAGGGAGCCTCTGCACCCAGGGAAAATGTTACCCTTTACAGGGGGAAAGGGCAAACCAGTAGGGAATACAGTACAATCCCAACCCTACTGGGAGGGGCGGGAGGGAGGTGTTGCCGTCACTGTATTAAGTTGATGTTGGGAAATGTTTTAACATCTGGAGCCTTTGTGGGCGGAAATCTGTCTCCAGTTACAACTCTGCACTGGATGTGAAGAAGCAAAAATCTATTCAGTCTACTCACAAAACAGCACTTTTTGGAAAATTATGGGGAAGTGTACCAAAACAAGAACCATATAAACGATGCCTAGGGATAAGACACGGGAGAGTTCCATGGTACACAATAAAGGAAACCTAAGAACAGGGGCGACAAATAGTAAGGAGGCTTTTTTTTTTCTTTACTTAAAGGTTTTTATATAAGTTTTCTCACATTATGGGGCCTCGTTTTGCATGCTGATAAAGAGCTATACAAAACTAAGAGAGTTAAAATCAGCTTGCTTCCCCTAGTAGAAGAAGGCTCTTGGAAATTAAAAAAAAGCAACAAATTTGAACACTGAAGCACCCTGTGAAATGCCAAAGAGTCACTCCTTTTACCTTTGTGGGCTGGGCAGGGAGGGAGGAATAAATGGGGTTGGGTGTATCAAACGAAAGAGGACAGCTAGAGCTATACAAAACTAAGAGAGTTAAAATCAGCTTGCTTCCCCTAGTAGAAGAAGGCTCTTGGAAATTAAAAAAAAGCAACAAATTTGAACACTGAAGCACCCTGTGAAATGCCAAAGAGTCACTCCTTTTACCTTTGTGGGCTGGGCAGGGAGGGAGGAATAAATGGGGTTGGGTGTATCAAACGAAAGAGGACAGCTTCATTTTACATTAAAACATTAGTGGATATATATATATATATAACATTAGTGGAGATATCTATATATAAAAAATTAGTGGATATATATATAAAACATTAGTGGA